GACAGATTTGATTTTTGGTTTAATGAATAGTGGCACGCTTGTAAACAATTTTAAAGTGTGGCATATGAGATGAGATGTGTCATTTTTTAAAATTTCTCTTTATTATTCCCTTAAACTTCTCTAACATTCTCCCATGTGGACTGCGAATGTTTGTCACTGCCTTTAACTTTATGTAATTAGTGTTTAATTATTCTCAAAGCCAAAATTGTTTTTTGGCGAAACAAAACATCAAATACAAGTCTTTAATTTAAACCACATCGTGAGAGGGTTGCGAGCAAAAAGTATAGCTCCTTAAAAATAAAAATCACGAGCCTTATTAAAGAACACGGACAAAAAAGTAACTTGAACATAACCAGAGATTAAAGGGCTCATGTGAGGACTTTTACAGGGAACAACCACCACCAAGCATCATTTACTTGTCGACTACTTCAATCAGACTCGGCTCATAGTCGCTTGGGGCCACAAACCCATGGAGGTTCATCACTGTCGCAGCTACATTCGCAAGTCCGGGTGTGTCCAAATCCTGTCTGAACTTAACTCCTGCTGACAAACCAGGACCTCCTATGGCAATTGGCACCTACACACACATCATGACCAATTTTCACATAAGGCACAACAACTTCTGGTAATAAAAACCTCTCATGTATGTGTACTCTGATCTTTATGATGCTTATTTGCAACTTCCACATTATGGTTATAACATTACTATTTTGCTACGACTTACTGGTTTCAGGGTGTGAGAGGTGAGAATCTGAAGGTTTCCTTCTTTATCGAGAGCGGGCTTGCCAGATTTGTCCCTTTTAACCATGTCCTCGGCATTTCCGTGATCGGCTGTGACCACATATATCCCTCCAACCTGGTTTATGGCATCAAGGATTATCTGCAAACCGGGCACTTGTGAGTCATTGGTACTAACTAAGACTGGTTTCTCACAATTATCATGTTAAAGGTTTAATAGAAACCATACCCTCACAGCAACATCAGCAGCCTCACAGGCAACAACAGTAGCTTGAATATCACCGGTATGACCAACCATGTCTCCATTTGGCAAGTTAACACGCACCTAAAACATCATTCACACCAAATTCAGAAACTGGAGTTTTTTAATGGGTTAATACAATATGATAAGATCATAATACACCTTACCTGGTCGAACTTGCCACTAAGGATAGCATCCCTTGCCTTCTCGGCAATTTCCAGCGCTTTCATCTTTGGCTGGACGTTGAATGATATTCCGCTATCACTCGGAATCTCAATGTACTGTTCTAACTTTTCGTTGAAATAGCCAGAGCGGTTGCCATTCCAGAAGAAGGTGACATGGCCAAACTTAACTGTCTCACTGTTCAAATGAATATAAATTTTGCATTCATTCCATAAAACATACCTTCAAGTGTATAATCTCATCAAGAAAAAAACAGCAAGAAACCCCAACCATAACCTAGACCTCTAACTAGCTAGAGAAGAGTGTTATTATACCACAATTTCATTTCCAATTCCAGTTCCACCAAATATGTACTAAAAGTAAATTTGTAACTGAGAAAACAGCATCAGAAGACAATACACAAATGAAAACGAGAGTAAAATAAAGATTTGAGAGATTCGAAATGTTAACCTGCAAGCAAAAGTACGGATGCCATTGTGTGCCAGATATTCACCAGAAGTTCTATCAATCAATGGTGGAGAAACAAGATAATGGCTAGGAAGCTTGAGCTCTCCATCATATTCGAGCATTCCTGCGTAACGAATCTTGGGGACTCGTACACGATCAAACTTATCGAAATCTTCATATTCGAGCGCTTTTGCATGCATAACCATCCGATCAGCACGGAAATTGAAAGTAACAACCGCGTCACCATCAACAATTGGACCCACAGCCTTTCCGTTGTCATCAACAATGACAAAGGGAGGCAAATACTGGTCATTCGCACCAGGTTCGGCTCTCAGTGTCTTAACTGCTTCAAGAGCGTTCTTGAATTTGTGAGGAGCTTCTCCAAGAACTTGAGCATCCCATCCTCGTTTAACAACATTCCAATCATTCTACGTAGGAGTAAAGAAGAATTCCATTACAGGCAGCAACAACAGAATTTGAAAGCTAAGCCTAATCCACTTCTCTACTAGGCAAGGCAAGAACATTCATACAAAGATCTCACAAGTCTGCTAATGAGAGATAAAAAAATAAAGCATTCCTTACCTCGTAACGGTCCATTGTGACATTCATGCGACCACCACCAGATGCAACCTGAGCATCAACACCTTTGGAACGTAACTCAGCGAGGTCACCTTCAAGAGTTTCCACAAATCCAACACTAGAACCATCCAAAACATCACGACCATCAGTAAGAATATGGACACGGATTCTCTTAGCACCACGTTCTGCAAAGCCCTTTAACAACAACTGCGCAACAC